GTGCTTTCACATTGAGCAGCATTAACTACACAAAGCCGTTGTTCACTGACGAGCTGCACAAAACCACGTTCATATTCGCGCGATTTTTAGCGCAGCTCCTCAGTGAACAACGGCTCTGTGTAGTTAATGCTGCTCCATGTGAAAGCCCGCAGGTGATGGAGATTTACCGCTGATTACAGAACCGGCTTTCTGACAAGGTGTGCGTTAAATATCGCATGCGATTAATCGTGCAGCCCTATTTTTAATGCAAATATGACATTATTTGACCTAACCCTACACCTACCCTTACCCCTAACCATAGCCCATAACAAAGACATCTCAAACAATGTCATCTTTGCATTAAAAATGACATAACTGAGTGAATGACACTTAATGACAGTTGTCATAAACATGCATAAAACCCCCTTCATATTCATGACATGTGTCATGTCATGATTATGAAGGTGTCATGTCAGTCTTATGCACACCCCTTCAAGTAAAGTGTAACCAAAAATTGTAATGATTATCTACTAAACCGTGTTGAAGTCAGTGAAAATGGTTGCTACACCCCTGCGTTTTCCTGCAGCATTCTCTTGTTTGTAAAGGTTGTGTCTGGGAAACATATGAACCCGCACGGTGACCTCACATTGCTCAACAGTGTTCTACCTCTCTCTTTCTCTCAGGCCTCTCAGCCCGATGAACTAACCATCGATGAGCATGAGATGTTGGAGGTTATAGAAGATGGAGACATGGAGGACTGGGTGAAGGTAAACCATTTAAACCATTGCTTATTTCAGCAGTTCAACACAACCTGCTGAAGTTTATTTCAATTAGACTGTAATTCAATAAGATCTACAGAAGGAAAGAATTTTTGTGTGTCTTGTAATGTGTCAAAAATAAGATTTACACCGAATTCCAATTATTCCATGCACACAAACGTTTTGAATGACAGTTGGTTGAATTCTTTGGAAAACTGTGGAACTTTCCGCTGAATTCCGTTTGGGCCCGTTTATAAGTTTTAATCAATTTTTGTTAGTTTTGTTGTTTTTTCATTGTTATTATTATAAATAATCTAAGAATTCATTAGCTCTGTTTAAAGTTGCAATAAAACAGAATAGCAACATCTTTTCACAATAAAAATCATTCACAATACAATCTATAACGTTAATTTAAAACTATTAGAATGAATTTTCATTTCTTGCAAGCTTTAACACATTTTTACTATGTTTAGGTTCATCCCAGAGATTTTTCACTTCAAAATTAGTGCAGAAACTCCATTTGAATTCCAGTGTTATTCCGAAAGTTCCATTCGCAAACTTTTTGAATGACGGTTGTTTGAATTCAGATTCCATGTGGGCCTTTGTCCTTGCATGTTTGACTATTAAATATTTTGGTGATTATTATCAATTTATTATTTTTATTTTTAATAATTTGATTATTCTTTTAGCTCTGTTTCACAGATTTCTCATGTTTAGATCAATTACTGATTTTTTTCTCCCAAAATCAATAAAGAAAATTGGATTAAAGTGTTTGGGTGACTGCTGCTGAATGTTGTCATGGTTGGTTCCAGGCGCGGAATAAGTCCGGTCAGGTGGGCTACGTTCCAGAGAAGTACCTGCAGTTCCCCACATCCAACAGTGTCCTGAGCATGCTCCAGTCCCTCGCTGCTCTGGACGCACGCTCACACTCCTCCAGCAACTCCACTGAGCCTGAGCTGGCATCAGGCAGCTTCAACGGAGACAGCAGCAGTGAGTCTCACACACACACACACACACACACAGACGGGTGAATGCTGATGGTTTGTGTGGGTGGGTGATGATGTGAGTCACAATGCATCTAAATGTTCATTCTGACCTTTATTAATGAAAATGTGTCATGCTACTACTGTGTTGGTGTTTTTTTGGTCGTATTACTAGGTTTTGTTTTGTTTTTTATGACATGGTCTGGTTTCTCACAAACATGGAGAACTTGGAAATATCAGGGAATCAGCCTGGAATTAAATAAGGTCTAAAAAATGATTGGACATGGCTGAAAGAAACAATTTTATTAATCAAGGATGCAATAAAGTGATCAAAAGTGACAGAATAGACATTTATAATGTTACAAACGATTTAAATTTCAAACAAATGTGTCCTCTTTAAGTTTCAGCACAACTGTTTTCAACACTGATAATAATCAGAAATGTTTCTTGAGCAGTAAATCAGCATATTAGAATGATTTCTGAAGATCATGTGACACTGATGCTGAAAATACAGATTTGAACACTGGAATAAATTACATTTGAACATATTAACATTTAACATTTTCTGAAATTGGGATTTAGACATCATCTGAAAGCTGAATAAACAAGCTTTCCATTAATGTATGGTTTGTTAGGATAGGATAATATTTTAGATACAACTGTTTGAAAATCTGGAATCTAAGAGAGCAAAAAAAATCTAAATATTGAGAAAATTGCCCTTAAATATGTCCAAATGAAGTTCTTAGCAATGCATATTACTAATCTAAAATTAAGTTTTGATATATTTACGGTAGGAAATTTACAAAATATCTTCATGGAACATGATCTTTACTATTACCGATAATATCCTAATGATTTTTGGCATAAAAGAAAAATCTATCATTTCGACCCATGCAATGTATTTTTGGTTATTGCTACAAATATACCTGTGCTACTTATGACTGGTTTTGTGCTCCAGGGTCACATATATTCAAATAGAAAAGAGTTACTTTAAATTGTAATTATATTTTGCTGTTTTTACTCTATTTTTGGTCAAATACATGTATCCTCTGTGAGCATGAAAGACTTTTTTTAATTAAATCTTACAGACCCCAAACTTTTAACAGACAAAAACTCCATAAAACACTTTTGAAAGTTGCAAGCTGTGAAAATGACTTGATCTCAGACCTTTAAACAGTGCGTGCCATTGTAAAGACTGCGAGTCGATCCCTCACAGCCTCATTTTTACCTGCATTACATCCAGTATGCCGTCTAAACTGACCGAGGCGTATTAACAACCTCTTTCTTTTGTTCTTCGTCTCTCCCAGTGAGTTTTGTCAAGGCCATGTACGACTACGAGGGTCAGACGGATGACGAGCTGTCATTCCCTGAGGGAGCCATCATCCGCATCCTCAACAAGGACAACCAGGAGGACGACGGATTCTGGGAGGGCGAGTTTAACGGACGAGTGGGCGTCTTTCCGTCCGTGCTGGTGGAGGACCTGACCGCCTCAGAGAACGGAGACACTCACTGGGGAACAGACACACAGGTGAGACGAGCAGAACTCAGTCTGAGTCTCTATGTCCACACTTACTGTGTGTTTCTGAGTGGGTTTGATGTCCGAGGCCTGGTGTTGTTGATTGCAGGCATGGCTGCTTCCTTCCTGTAATTAACATCATCCGGCCACATCAAAGCAATTCTTGATTGGAGCTAATCATGTAAATACAGTCATAATATAACTGTACTTTAATGTGTACTTTAATCATATAATTCGTTACTTGACTCTCTAAAATTCTAATTCTAGTTTTTCATATAACGATGCTAAATTATGTCGTTTGTTATGCCTAAAATAATAATAAACTTGTTCGTTGATAGTTGAATATCTTAATATGATTCAGAGTTTTCTATAATTTAATAAAACACCGTAAACTACTGTTTAAATGTTTGTGGAAAGAAGTATTTTATTCTCACCAAGGCTGCATTTATTTGACTACAAATGCAGGAAAAACAGTAATATTGTGGAATATTATTACAATTTCAAATAACTGAATATACTTTAAAATAATTAATTTAGGATCAAAGCTGAATTTTCAGCATCATTACTCCAGTCTTCAGTGTCACATGATCCTTCGGAAATCATTCTAATATGCTGATTTGCTGCTCAAGAAACATTTCTGATTATTATCAGTGTTGAAGACGGTCGTGCTGCTTCATATTTTTGTGGAAACCGTGATGCATTTTATTTCTCAGGATTCTTTGATGAATAGAAATCTCAAAAGAACAGCGTTTATTTGAAATAGAAATCTTTTGTAAAGGTATTCACTGGCACTTTTGATCTATTTAATGCGTCCTTGCTAAATAGAAATATTAATTTCATTTACTGGCCCCAAACTTTTGAACGCTAGTGTATATTAACATTATCTGACACTGAGAGGATTTACTTACTTGGTAGACTTGGCAAGGATACGCTAGCTTAGCAAGCTAAAATGCGTTGTCGTCTCCAGGTGTCCCCGTGCCAAAGGCTTCATTCATCGCTTCCTCCTCTGCCTCTGTATGAGCAGCCGCCCTGCAGTCCGTACACGAGCCCCGAGACCAGCAGCGCTCCCTCGCTGCCCCGCTCGCCGTCTGTCAACGGAGAACTCAAACTGCCCATCCCGCAGAAAGCCGCCATTCATAGTAAGACACTAGTCACCACAGATACTGCGTCATGTGTTCCTCTGTGTATTTGAGTCTGTCAGTGTTTTCATTTGAGAATGTTTTTCATTTGGTTTAGATCACAATTCCAGCTTGAGTCCAGAGAGCCCAGGCTTCTCTCAGCCGCTGAGAGTCACTCCGGACGGATCCGGCCCCGGAAAACTCAGACCTGTAGGTCAACAACACAGCGCTAAGGATTTGCTTAGTCTCAAATGTGTTTTTTATGCTTTTATGAACATTGTGCATTTTAAAGTCGTTATGTGTAAGATTTTGCCATTTTCAGAATTATTTAAGATTAAAACGAGATGCTATTATAGATTTTATTAATATTTTGAATTCATTTTAAAATTTTAGTCATTTGTGTTTTTGTTTTGTTGTTGTTGTTGTTGTTTTTTAAATATGCCTATAGTTTTAGTAATTTTAATTTCATTTTTAGTTGTTTTAGGAAATCAAGTTAAAATAAATGAAAATTAGAAAATAAGTTAATAAGTTGTTTATTTTATTTCAGTTCATATTTATTTTACTTTAAGTAATGAAAGTGCATTTTTATGGTTTAGTTTTAGTTATCTTTAATAACCCTGGCAGTTTCTTACATTTGGAAAAATATATATTTAGAAAAAACTCACTAGACCAGAGAAAAATATATTTTTATAACTTTGTATTTCTTATAATTTTATGTATTTTTAACATTTTTTTAAAATAGATTTATCTGTGTGAATCTCTTGAAACCTGTCAATAATATATACAGACCATATTTCATCCCTCAAAAAATAACAAAAATATTTTTAGAACAAAATGAATTATCTATCTGTATTTTAGAGTTATTAACTTGTTTGTGAAAAAAGTTGCCAGCCACCACCAGCATTTTTGAGAATTTTCACTAAAATTCCTTGGCCCCCAGAATATTTTGTAGTACGAATATCTGAACATGCAATACATCAAAATAAAGAGCAGACCCTCTACTTTTAAACAAAAAAACTGTTTTATTTTAGCTTCAAACTTAATTTTTTTTATCAATACTTGAATACAGGTAGGTTTCATAAAAAAAAAAAAAAAAAGATTTTGAGCAAAAAGCTGAGAAAATCGCATTTTTATCAAATACTACATCTGGATCGTATTATTATCAAAGCAGAGATGCAGTAGATGGCTTCCATTAGCACTCCTAAAGCTTGCACAGTCCTTTACCACTTCCTGGATTGCCATTTCACTTGGTAACATTAGGCAGTTTTCATTAATGTGCTTAATTAATTCAAATTCATTTCATTTCAGCATTTTATTGTTGATGATCGCATTATTTTTCATATGCATATGCATACATAGGAGATCGCTTGTTTCTGCATCTTCCTCATTTGTTTTTTTGATCGGCACATTCTAGACTCATTCAGGAGATCCGTAATAGCGCCCCCGAGTGTATGATAGCAAGAACGTGGAAACCTGGAAAATTCCGTGTTTGGTGGGGAAGCGTTGTCTCATAAAACCAAATTCCGTGTTTGGTGGGGAAGCGTTTTTAACAATTGAGCACTTTTTCCCCACTCGATTCTCTCTTTTTATTAATAGTAAAATAATAATAATTTAATAATCATTTCTCTTGTGACCCGTACATAGTGGAAAAAATTAAAAGAAACATATTTCGTGTTACACAGGTTGTTTTAATAAGTCGGTGCTTGAAATAAAAGCTTTTTATTTCAGTGATTTTTATTGATGACTGCGGTGTTAATATTTTAATTATAGGCCTATAATTCATTTTAAAAGACTTTTTAAAAAAAAAATTTTTTTTAAAGGGGTCATATGATGCGATTTCAAGTTTTCCTTAATGCACTGGGTCAGCTGGCCAATCAGAGCAGACTGACTGATCGGAAGGAGGGACTTTGTAGAAAACGAAGCGTTTGAGAGAGGCGGGGCATAGAGGACCTACAATAATGTACAATATTTGAAAAATAATGTGTTTTTTGAACATTAAAGCATGTCAACATGTTCTGTTACACCAAATACACAAACTAGTGATCTTTAAATAAGCATCATATGACCCCTTTAATTAAGGAGTAAATAGCCTAATCTTTTGTTATCCTCGCAGCGCGTCAGTTATGTGGTAATTAATGCAGGGCAAGTGAATTGTAATCTTAATTTAATAAAAAAAGTAACTTCATAATAATAATAATAGGCCTAATAAAAATAAGAATGTAACGGGCCAGATCCTCTTAATATTACCAATAATTGATGTTTTTGACAACATCTCTGGCTATCGTCGTTTGGGCTGCCTTGTTGAGCGCAGTGGCACTGAGAAAATTATATTTCACACACTTTAAGCTCTTTTATTTTCTAAATGTAATAGAATTAGTCCAATGAATCGTTCAGTTTGTAATGCGCACCTAACCGAAAGCCTCATACTGAACGGTTCAATACGAATACATGTATCGTTACACCCCTAATATATATGAATTACTGTTTATTATTATATTTTATTGTATAAATATTATATTGTAAATATAAGAAAATAAATGTATATTATTTATAAATATTATGTATATTATTTCTATTTATACATTTTTATTTTTTTCGGTGGGACCTACACATTTTCACTTGTGAATATATTATAGGCTTCCTCTTCTCTATTAAACGCTGTTCTTTTTTGTCTGTAGGTTCGGGCGGCACCTCCTCCTCCAAAGCAGCACACGCGCCGACAGGTGGAGAAAACCGAAGAGGTGGAGATCACGCTGGTGTAGAGCGCCGCCCTAGTGGACTGAGAACAAACCCCATCTGACCTCTAACCCCTCCCACTCCTCACGGAAGGGGCGGGGCGTGTGTTACCCGCCCTATGAGCATCCTTAGATCCCGAAGGGGCGGAGAACAGCATCTCAAAGGCATCCCTTTTCATAAAAACAAACACCTCTTTTGGCGTCACAGACTGTTTGGTGCCTTAAACCGCTTTCATGCCAAACTCTAATCCTTGTATTCGTAATTACGTTATCTTGCAACGGGAGCTTGTTTAAAACTTTGTTAATCCACTCGATGCCAGTTAATTTTCACAAAATTGAGGTTGATGTGTAAGTGTGTGTCTAAAAACGTAGAAAGGAATCAAGGGATAGCGAGAGTTTTAAAGAGGCTACACTTTTTACGGCTTTAGAAGAGCCAAACATGCGATACTAGGAATTGTGGGATGATACGGGAGTGAAAAAGGGGTCAGCCACGAATAGTCCTACCATTTACGTATTTCATATGTAATAGCACAGTACATTACTGTCGTCATAGGAATGTTATATTCACGTTAAACATCGCAGATCATAACGGAGAAAGGGAACTGTACATAAAAGGCTACAAGGAAAAAGAGCGGTAGAGGAGAACGAGGGTTAAAAAGAGAGGAAGGCTGGTTACTTCACTCGGTTTAGCTTCTTTCTGTCTTGTGTTGATCTGAGAAAAGTACTAACAACATAGCTATATCCTTTTCCTCAAATTGTCATTATGAAGACCAGTGTTTGTATGTATTACTAATATTTAGTCCTCAGAAACACGCGACCTAAAGACACGTCTGTGAGCGTGAGGCGGCGAATATTCTGCGTCTGCTCGGGCGGAACGTAATCGTGGAAATATACCGATCAATATACAAGTATCAGTTAAAGTGCTTTTCCAGCCTAACGCATTTCTCATTGTCATGTGTCGGCACTGTAGAGGACTGAACGGATGTGCTGTGTTTCTTTTATGGCAGAGTTTAGGGTGAATGTGATGGGAAAGATTCCCACCAACAAGCACAGAAAAGGTGGATCACCGTGGAGATTTTTCTTTTTAATTATTGCCGACGAACGCAAACCTATTATCGTGTCCTAAGTGCATTTCCTCCCTACAAGGGGCAGCTATGTTTGTTTTTTTAAGAGTTTCTTTGTCTTTTTTTTTGCAGTTGAAGAGACATTTCATTTTAAATAAGCAATGGCTGTATGATTTATGATTTGCATTCATTTCCACAGTATTTTCATGCATATCTTGATCTTTTTCTGGAGTTTCAGTGCTTTGACCTCTTAATTTTATCTTATTTTTTTAATGTCCTTGTGTCCCAGCTGCCTCTTTTGGATGATGAAGCTGCCCAGCGTCGTGTTATTGATCTCATTAGAGAGTGACTGATTGTAGTTTTCCCATAACGTTTGAAAGAGAACAGAGTTATTATGATGATTCCATAATATAGACAGTGGAAAGAATTTTTAAAAATCCATTTTGTGAAATGGTACCATAGTTCTGTTAAGCAAGAACAGGGTCATGACGAAAAGAACGTGTGCGAGACGTGGGAGGAAAAAAAAACAAAACGTTTGTTTGGTAGCCTTTTTTTAATCCGAGCGGAAGATGTTTGAGTATCTTCCTTTGTTTCTATTTTCCTCTGTCACAACCTATTTTCTTGTTGATCTCGTTGAGATCTTTTGAATGTTATCAAACTTGTTTTGAAGTTTATGGTTAGAGGTTAAAGCCCATTGTGTCAAAAACGGTTCTCGCCTACGAAGCGAACGCAAATTTTGATATTTTCATTTGCATTTTTTTTCAATTGCGCTCCCAGTTTTCTTGGCCAGTTTCAATCTTTGGAGCTTCTTCAATAGCATTAGCTGCATATTCTAGTTCTTTTTATTTCTAAAGTGATTTTATTTGCGTTTATTAAAATTTGAAGGTGATTCCGAGCTGCTAGACAAAAAAAACAGATGGAATAACAACAATTGACTGTTGCTGCAGTGACAATATCAGAGAACAGGTGAAAAATATTCTTTCTGCATATTATTAGCTGTAAAATTATTTGTATTTATTGTGTACAAATGTTAAATAAAAAAACTGGGGAAAGTGATTCTCTTTGTTTTTTAGTTTTTTTATGGATGTGGCCAGATGTAAATGCATCAATTGCAACTTCAAATCGGTCACAAATCTTTTTATTTTTTTATTTTATACATTGTATTTGTTTCATGTTTAGTGTTTATTTTCATAGAAAATTGTATATTTTATAATTATATTCAGACGTGCCCCACATTTTAGTAAAATAGCTGCAAAAAATGCAAACCTATTACACAGGTAATAGTAAAATAAAAAAGTGGACAAACATTTAAAGACAAAGACATTTGAACGTCTGAAGGTTAAATACCTCCTTTCAATATTTTTCTAAAGCTTTCTTGTGAATATGAGATTTTTTTTATATGTTATTTGTACCACCTGTAGGATGCTAGATGTGTGAATGTTTTGAAATTGATTTAAAATCTAGAATGTGTTTTTGTCGGATGATATCAGACTGTTTTGTTAAATCATGCTGCTTGTCAGTCAGCTTTCAAAAGAGTGGGCTGTTCTCCCAGAGTTCCATGTAAATAACAGAGACATGTTTCCTGCTGGGAAATGAGATACGCAGTTTCCCTCCTCTCTCCATCCACAGGGTAATGAGTGTGGATTTTTCACATATTTCTGCAAGAACAAAATGTTTCAGCATGTTAATTGTATGCGGCCACATGGAATGAATGAGAAACTTTCTCTCTGAAGGGAATTAGATGGCTTGTGTTAAAGTTTATTTGTGCTCCAACCCAGAAGGTACGTATCACAGTCTGTTTTAGGCTAATCTTAAATGTTTATATGCCTACAGATTAAGCTAACCTTGTATGGATGTTATAATGTCTGCAGGCGTTCATTTACTTTTTTAAATGATGTTTTTGAAAGGAATAAAAGCATAACTATACCAAAGTATAACTAACTTTAATACAATTAACAATCTTAATAATATAGTGAATAATGAACTATCAGCACATCTTTAATGAAGGAGATGTTGCATTTGGTTTAATTTGTAATTTAGCGGTTAAATCGTTAAAGAAAATAAATGACCCTCATGTCATTCCAAACCCATATGACTCTTCTGAGCGTCACATGTGCAAATTGGATTTAATAGGCATGCAGGTTTGCAAAGACATAAGGATGAATAAATGACAGTATTTACATTTTTTTAAGTGTACAATTCCTTTGAAACTTGATTTTATTCATTAGAAAATGACTGGATTGTGAAAAGTGGTCTGGAGGGGAGGGGTTGCAAATAATGTGGAGCAAGGTATTATTTTAATAAAAGATTATGACTTTTTTCCCCCTTTAGAAATAACATGCACCAATGAATCGTTCATAGTAAGATGAGGAAAGTGCATTAAAAAAAGTAAACGGGTTAACAAAATCTGGGCTAGAAAGTGATGGGTAAAAGTTGAATCACAACTGAAATGTTGCCTCGTGTAAACTGTGTTGCAGAATCTGTGGTTGAGAGGAGGTTACTAAGGCAGAGAGTTTTCCCCAGACTGAGGGAATACTGCAGATGCACATATGGAGTCGAGTTCAGAGTGAGCAAACATTCCTCATTACTTTTTTCACATCTTCTGTCAGTATGTAAAGTGTTTAATCAGCTTGTAAATAATCTAATTCTGAAGAACATTACAGTTGTGTTGCTTCCAGTTGACAATAACAAATGATTTCACAAGCAATTGTGTTTTAATCCATAAACATGAATAAATAATGATTATTTCTTTCATTGGGACATTTAACAGGCCCTCCTACTGTCTCATCTAAACATCATGCATTTTTAATTGTGCAAATAACAAAAGGCTGACTGTTAGTATTGAACTTATTTTTAACACTATTTCTATACTGCTTTCTGAGAGCATGTTAGTAGACAGTTACGGTGCATAAAACACTGTGGTTGTTTTGGCTAATAGATGGCATCTAGGCCACCAACACAAGGTCTTTATTGAATCATTTGCCTCCTCCCTCTACAAGAACTAACATTACAAAAAAGCAGAAAATTGTCTGTTGATCCAACCTGTCTGCAGGGTATTGACCCATATGAAGCAGCAGAACCCAAAAACTGGCCCTCGCAGAAGAGACGACTGCAAATTCTGGAGGACTGCAGGAAGAATTCTCTGGGGCCTTTCTTTGTGGTAACATTTGTTTCAGTACAGCATGATTATTTAATTGTAGGTATATGGTAGATTTTACTTGATACAACAGCTCTAAAATAGTTGCAAATATTTTATACAAACAATAAGCCACTTATGGTCATGTGTTCCTAACGTGCAGAGATGTTACCATGCTTAAAGTAATTCTAGGTACTTCACATTGGAGCAACGCTTGTTGCATGCAGAGCTCATAAAAGGATTAGTTCACTTCCAGAATAAAAAATGTCCTGATAATTTTCTCACCCCCATGTCATCCAAGATGTTCATGTCTTTCTTTCTTCAGTCACAAAGAAATTACGTTTTTTGAGGAAAACATTCCAGGATTCTTCTCCATATAGTGGACTTCAATGGCGGCCAACGGGTTGAAGGTCCAAATTGCTATTTGGAATAAGGGTCTTATCTAGCCGTTTTCTAAAATAATAATAATTATATACTTTTTGAACACAAATTCTCATCTTGCTCTGCAATGTGCATGTGCAGTTCTTCGTCTGTGTACTTCAGTTCAAAAAGGTAGGGTAGGGCAAAAAACTCCATCATATTTTCTCCTCCAACTTCAAAATTGTCTGACATCATTGTTTTGCTTTGTTTTGTAAAGGGCGTTTGACTTTCTTTGCACATTTGCTTTGTAAACACTGGGTTGGTACTTCCGCCTACGTCAACGCATTACCTTTCCAGCGTTTACACAATGAGGTCGAGCTAATGCAAGACGAACATTTGTGTATAATTTTTTACAAAATGACAGATCGTTTTGCTAGATAATTCCCTTATTCCTCAGCAAGGATCGTGTAGAACCCTTTTAAACTACATTGAAACTGCAGCCTGTTGGCCACCATTGAAGTCCACTATATGGTGAAGAATCCTGGAATGTTTTCCTCAAAAACCTTAATTTTTATGCAACTGAAGAAGAAAGAAAGACATGAACATCTTGGATGACATGGAGGTGAGTAAATTATCAGGAAATTTGGTAACACTTTATTTTAAGGTGTCCTTGTTACACATGTTACATTCACTTACTATTATAATAACAATTAATTATGCATAATTACATGCAAGTAACCATAAACCAAACCCTAATCCTAACCCTAACCATATATTAAGTGCGTGTAGTTAATCAATGTAATTCAGTACATAAATGTATAATACTGTAACACGGACACCTTAAAATAAAATGTAACCGAAAATGTTTATTTTGGAAGTGAACTAATCCTTTAATATATGGAAAATAAGTGATATTTGAAGAGTTCATTTGCAAAAACCAATAACTTTATTTTTTTTCAGAAATCACGTTTTTTTTTTTATTGCGCATTCCAAGTAATATCAATCAAACTGCAGTTGGGTTGTTTTGATTAAGTAATAATAACTTAAACAAATACAGGTAATTTACTAAATTAAAGTTTATTGAAAGTATGTTTTTTTTTACATATTAAAAGTTTGTTTTATAGCGAAAGCAATTAACTCCAACAGTCGTTTTTTGCCAAAAGCAGATAACTCCACATTTCATGTTTTAGAGTTTAAAAAAAACACTTGTTTAATCTTTGTAATCTCCTCAGATGACAATGTAGATGCCTGACAAGCGTTGTTATCATAAACTGTATGGATGTGATTACACGCAATACACGGAGCTTTTCCCTCATCATTGTAACGCGCTGATTTTGCAAGTTTCCGTGAAAACATTTCAGCTTTTATTTTCCTTTTTCGCCCTGAAAAAGATATCACAGGTTCATCAAGTTCGTCGAAATTATCCATCCTCGATCACTTTTAGTCAGCTTTGACGAAACTCCTCTCAGCTAGCTCGTCTTTTCAAAGTAAAATTAGCCTTGTCACCTGACCTGAATACAGCGCGCTGATTCGCTAAAATGGACTTATCGGCTTCTGTTCAAAAACAACAAGGGACGTGAACTCGCGATGCCTTGAAAGTGGACAAAACCGGCTTTTTTGACAAAACGTGTTTAGGGTTCAGATCGCGCTATATGTGAAGAATAATGCACGGCAATCAGCTCATTTTTTGTGAAAGTGGCATTTATCGGTTTTTGCAAATGAGCTCTTCATTTGGGGTGGGAAAGTTCACTTTTTCTCATCTCTCAAAAACATTTACCAAATGAATGAGCTTCAGTTGTTGTCTCTCATTTCAGGGGTTGGTGGGTGAACAGTATGGAGATGCATGTTTACCTGAGCAGATCGAAGCCTCTGAGTTCCAGCATGTTCTCAAAGTATGCCAGCAGATGGACTTTAGGACTGAGATTTTGGAGAGATGCTACCAGAGAGATGAAAATGCCATTCCTCCCTCTTTCTGTATGCTAAATCCAGCAGGACATTTTAAACACTCTGGTGTCCAGGCAAGTAACATGTTTTGCATTATTGGTGCACAGAACCGAATAATTTAGCTAAAGTCCTTAATCTTTCATTATTAGCGAGAGAATCCAAATGAAGAGAACAACTGGTGCGAGGTTCTTCCAGAGGTGAGGAGAATCCTTCATGATGTTGTGACCCAGTGTGTTCAGGAGGGGATTATGACACATGAAGAAGCTCAGAAATATTTCCGATCAGGTAAGTCAGTGTCTTTGTCAAATTGCATAATTTTGCAGCATATTCCAAATCAAAATTGTCTAATTTATGATTATCACACCAGCTCTTGAAAACGACATCCGCTATGCATATGAAGACCATTCCAGTGAAGATATTGCAAGATGTCTTTGCTACGTTCATAAAATAACTAACCCAAGGAAAGCAATTGGATTGCCTCCAGAGAAACAAGCCCAGTTGTACCAGCTGACCCAGCTCCGAGACCACTTCCTGCCAAGCATGGTTGCTTTCCACAAAGCCCAGGTGTACAGCACCACCACGAAGTGCAATCATGGTTACACACCTGAGATGAGGC